GAAGGAACATATAAGCATAAGATGACAAAGATCAGAATCCGGGTCAGCAATGGGAGGTATTCAAAGGTGGTATTCACAGTGACTTTCAGGGGCATTGTCTTTCTCCTTGGGTCCTTCATCCAAGACTATAGGGCAGACACACAGAGGGCCAATCTAGGAGAGAGAGGTCCACAGTTAGATTAGCAGGGAGTTGACAGTACCCCCAAGGGAAATCACTGGTGATCCAGATGGGAGAGGGCAGTTATGCAGAAGAGAAACGGGGGGCGGGGGAGGGGGGGAGAATCAGAGGGAGCCTGCATCAGAGACAGGCTGTGGACTGTGCTAGGCTCCGGTCATGACCGGAAGCAGGGAGGCCATGAATCTTACTCAGCATTTCGGCAAGAATCCTTCTGGTTTTGCCTCTGATACTTTGACTTTCTTTCAAAACAGCTGGAGCTTTCGCAGAAGAGTAAAGAGGAAGCTTACCTAATGGCAGATGCTTTCCGCATTGCATTTGAGCAGCAATTACTGAGGAAAAATGACCACACGCTCAAATGGACACAAGTGGACAAACTGTGTCAAAAAGCAACGAAACCAATCGACTGGAAGGCCCTCAAAGAGGATGGTAACTGTGAGCTGTCCTGGCAGTCATCACTTTGAGTTTGTTTCTTATTTTGATCAACACTATATTGATTTAATTGGGTATGGTTAATGATCCACATGGGATCATTCATATAGCTAAAATGCTCCACCCACCTACTTTAAGATTTAGCAACTGTGGAGACATTGAATGTTGCAGAGGAGCTATGGGGACCAACAAAACCCTAACATCACAGGGGAATCTCCTTTAACAAAGCCACGCCGGGTAGTGGTGTGAGCCCCTTCGAGTCAGTGCCAACTGGTGGCAACTCTGTGTGTGCAGAGTTGGGTTTGCCAGGCCAGTCTGCCACGGCTCCTCGAGGGGATTTGATGGCCACACTGTGGGTGAGTAGTTGAGTGTGTAACTGTTTGTGCCCATCCAGGCACTCTGTGAGGACCACCGCTAATGTGCCAAAAAATAAAAAGAATCAGTGAAAGAAAGAAAGCGACCAGGTTTAGTGTATGAGAGTACAAGATGATTGAAGAGTGGCCAAGAAGGAAATAATATTCAAAATGACAGTAAAAACCAACATTTAACTAATTAAAATGCATGGAAACATATGCTTCTGAAAGGGATATTTTGGGTTAGAGGAAAAAAAATCGTGTTAGAAAAAATTTTTTTTCCTAGTGAAAAAATGAAATTGAAGTGTAGATTTAGATTTTGGTTC